TCTCATTCTGTCGTCGATTAGTGAAACTCTACCTCGTGCACGCGTCGATCATTTCTCATCATGTTTTTAAGCAATTTCTATGAAACGTATAACACGTCGGAAAGAGATCGCTCGCTGTGACTTGAACGATTTCACACACGCAATATATATATACCATTTAATCGCTTTGTGAACTGCGTGAACAGCGTGAAGGGCGAGTCGTGCTGCTAGCAATAACAGGAATACGAACGATTAAAGCGCCCCGGATCTACAACCCGTTATACATACATATATCCTAGCCGTTAACGTACGAAGTTTCACGAAACTCGTCCGCTTCTCCGATCGCGAGGTTTCTTTGCTCTGTCTTATTGCCGCTTTAATCGCCCGACACCTTCTCTTGTAAATAATGTACATTTCAAATTTTTTGGAACTTCCCGCCTCCTCGCCCCCTCCCACACACATACACACATTCGTTCGACAAACAACAATCCCAAAGGAAAACATTTGACAACGTAATCTGACGAGTTTTCAGCGGAGCGAGAGTAAGAAAAAAAAAGAAAGATCACGTTAACGTTATTGTCTATAATTGTGTAAGCTCTTTATCTTCCTGTACAGCTAGAGCGAAGTGAGAAAGGAAAAGGCACGAAGAGAGAGAGAGAGAGAGAATGAGAGAATGAGAGAGAAAGTGAGAGAGAAGAAAATTGGAAGTGAAACACGAGAAGATAGTCGCGGACAACTGAACGAACACAGTGACAGATGGAGACGTTAGAGAAATGCATCATTTGCGTGTAAATGTAAATTTTTTGAGGGAACGTCGCACCAAAATAATAATAATAATAATTATAATTATAATAATGATAATAATAATACGTATTTTTTGATGGGATGGAAAAGGAAACATTACACATATAGCTTGTACGTTAAAGAAAAACGAATGAGAGAGAGAGAGAGAGGCAGTGTGCATGAATGAAAATGAATAAAAGAGAGACAGAAGAAAGAAAAAAAAAAAAAACAGAACGAAAATACGATTGTCAGTGATAGCCTGGCCTTTTTCGCCACCTTTAGTCGTACCAATCGCATTTATAATAGAGGGGTAACTGTAGTCTTCGTAAGAAAAGGAACTTCGACGAACGAACTTGAATAAAAGAGTGAGTAAAACTTAGAAAGAAAACACTTGAGGGCAGGCGGAGTTTTCCAGAGCCGGCGGGAGATTTTCAGGTACTTACAAAAAAAAAACAAGTAAAAAGATACAAAAAAATAAACAAACGAGAAAAAAGAAGATAAAGAAATAGGAAATAGAGAGAGAGAGAGAGAGACAGAAGAGAAGTATACTAAGTGTAAAAAGAGAGAAAACTGCTTTACACTGGCTAAGTAAAGATTAAATTAAGAGTTTTTGTATCGTATGTTTGTTAAGACTACTGTTTTTCTCACTCAAATCACCCCTTGCTAACCAGTATTCGAAAGAACGATGTTTGTCGCGTCACTTTGATATCTGTAAACAGCCATGTGAAAAAATAATACAGAGAAAGGGAAATTGTATGAAAAATAAAAGAGAAAACGAGTAACAGATGATTGTGAAGAATGAAAGA